TATGAAGAAAGTTTTCCTCTGTGCATGGCAAAGATGGACAGGCACAACCTAGGGTGTTGGAGCTTGAGGTCCATGGTGCTCTAAGAACCACATGAAAATGGCCTCTCTGGACTAATATTAGACAATGGGCATCTTTTAGATCCAACTATGTTCTTTTAGCTCATTTCAGGAGCTGCCAGACACTGACCCTACTAAAAGCCAGACCAGGTTCTCTTTGGTCACAGCCAAATGCACTATTATCACACATGGCATCTGGCAGAGGCAGTGCAGGTAATCACAGAGACCACCACAATGCTCCCTCTTCTATGAAGCTGCTAAATATTAAAAAAACCCACTGAAATGAAGTCAAGGTCAGAGGCACGTTGCAGTACTCTTTCTGAAGAAAACAGGCTGTGGGAGCCTACCTGGAGCCACCAGGGTGCAAGACATATCATCCCATCTCCCATGGGATCTGGAGCTGAAACCACCTCTATCCATAATGGAGTGTCAAGGCCAAGGCTGTGTGTGTAGACTGAGGTGTGCAAGCCAAAATCCCACTGGGCACACACACTGTGGGGCTGTGCCAGCTCCAGACACAGTGTCCACTTCGATTCAGGAGCACTTTTCCAGGTCAGAAGAGGGATAAGACTAAAGAGCTCTGGAGTGACTGATTCCTTCCTCTGAGCAGATTTCCAAAAACCCTTAGAGATGCCTCTCCAGCTGCATATAAGGACCCAGGAGTAAGCACAATTTACAGCCTCTTCATACAGGTAGGGACATGTTAACCCCTTTCATGTCACAGGGCAGAAACATGGCCTGGAGGATTGCAGGACATTTGCAGCCTCTGCTGCTGTGTCCTCTCAGCCTGCAGGTAACTGGTGTTCATGGGATGGGACAACTTTCTCCTTCTCAGGAGTTTTCTTCCCTAACAGCTGCCACTACAATCCTTTGCCACACGGTGGCTCCTGCTGGGTGGCAAAACGCCAGCGAGTCATGCATAAAATTATGCCTCAGGTATGAAAAAAAGCCAGAGCCCTGCATGGGAATGAAACGCTCTTGAAATCACATAGCTGTCCTGTGGGTATTAACATACAAAATTAATGAAGGGCCCTTCAGTCTGTCATACATCAGCCCAGCATGCAGGCTCAGTGAACACAGAGCCCCAGCTCTCAGCAGGTCTGGGATAGATCCTACATTAAAATCCATCATCCAGTGCCCATCTCCAAGAGTAGCTGATAACCAAGGAAACACCTTGTGCCCATCCGAGTTTGTCACTTCCTCCACTGGGGAGCTGAGTTCAGGAGACACCTGCATGTCCTGCTGTCTCCCACAGCATCCCCCAGCTGGGAGCCCCATGCTCTGGCTGTGACAGGAACACTTGCTTTCCCTTGTTTCACCCCTCTGCCTGATCCTTGTCAAGTTGTCCTACAGTTTTTATTTCCTTAGCAGTGGGAATTCCCTAGTTTTTCTGGTGCAGCACAGTAAAGCAGGAGGAGGTTCAAGCTCTGTACCAGGCCATGAAAAGAACCAAAGAATAATAAATCACATTTATCCCTGGAGTAAATGGCAGCACCTAAATGTGTGCAAGACCAGATTAATTTCCTATGTGGAAAATGACAATATTGTCTTTCATAACATAAAGCCTTCAGGCTTTCAGGATTTTTACCTTATGCCAGATGACTGAAATGGAGCTACTTGAGTTTACAGCCACCAAAGGATTAAAGTCACTGAAGCCATTGCTTTGAGGTTTCAGAAGGGCTCTTAGAGGAGAGAAACAAACCAAATCCAAATGCAGCCCTGCGAGAAATACTCTTTAGTTTCACATCCAGCCACATTTTATCAGTGAAAACCTGAACACCGATGGTTTATCAGCTGCATGATTTACCCAAACCTACTTCTGAAAATCATAGCTCATAGAAGTAGCTGTCAGCTGAGAGGCAGTCTGGAAAACACACACCAAGAGCGAACATAACAGCTGAAAAATCCTGCAAACACATAGAATTATTTGACTAATTGAGCTGCTTAAATAAAGCCAAAATGCAATTTAATAACACCCTTATATACATGGAATATGTCACAGATAGAAGCCTCCTCATCAGACCCAGCTTATCCTCTAGCCCTGCCCAGGTGTGGGCAGGTGTCAGTCATGAATTGACCAGCTTTGTTCCATGTGCCATCTTAGAGATGATGCATATGGATTTTATGCCTTAAAACCATCTAACAAACTGAATCCTCCATATTTATTTATTTTTTTGCAAGAAACAGGACAAACTGTGCAGCCATAATCCTGGTCCTACATATTTGGATGAGCCCAAAAAACAGTCCAACTCACCCAGAGCAGGTGTTGGGCAACTGTTTCATGCTCTGCCAGCAACTCTAGAGGTCAGGAAGAGAATGATGATCTCCTTTATGGAGCAGAGTGGGAACACCCTCTGCTCCTCCTGCCCCAGCCCTTTTACTCAGAGTAAATCACCCCCTTGTTGCTGTGCAGACCTGGGGTGCTCTGTGAGGCCAGCAGCAGGATGGGGTCCACAAAACTTGGAGACAGACTTTTAGTGCTTTCACAGGAGCTAATCTTTAAAGACCAAGAAAGGGTTAATCTTTAACAGTTGGACTTGATCTTAAAGACCTTTTCCAGCCAAAATTATTCTGTGATTCTGCAAGGCCAAAACAAAGCATTGTTCCTTGACTACATCATTCAGTGATATCTGCAGGACCTGGGTCATCTCTGAGGCTACCATCACAGGGTAGCAGATGAAGCCCATGTGTGCAGGGGTGCTTCTCCCCTGCCCATGGAGCCACTCCCACCCCCAGGCTCGAGGACATGGCCTGTGACAGGCTTGTTGGTTTGGCCTGTGCTGGTACCAGAGGTGGCCTTTGGGTGTTTGGTACATCCAGTTTCCTTCCATCCGCTCGAGTTGTTTTTCCATTGGGCAGGGAGGTTTACCTAAAGTGACACCTACCTCTCTCTCTGGTAAACACATAGTATTGGCAGCTAGTTGGTTTATAATGGTAAGCTTAGAAACTCATTTTCATGGTGCTGAGTGGGAGTTACTGCTTTATCCTGTCTCACATGGAAAGGTAATAAAAGCAGGAGATGAAATATTGTTGTACTTCAGCATGGAATATGCTGGCTAATGTTTCTGTAGCCCTGTGCTGTACCAAGCATTTGCCAGGAGGAGAAAGAGAGATGGGGAAAACACTAATTGCTCTGGTGAGACTCAAACCCAGAGCCTGCAAAGCCCAGGCTGGGGTGATGGGGAGAGATGGGGGTATGGAGGATGGAGGACAGGGAAACAACCAGTTTACCAGGCTGTGAGGGCCCTGTGGTTTTTTTAACCTTTAGGTTTTTCTTTACCAGCAAGAGTATCTCTTGTCATTGCAGTCCAGGACTATTTTTAACATTGTTGAGGAGTGACTAAAATGGGGTGGAGTAGCCAAGCCAGCTATGCTGCTCCCAGCCACCCACAAGGTTTATCTGACCATCAGAGGAGGAGCTAGGTCAGGGTCATTCTGCATGAGAAGGCAGAGCAAGGTGCCTGCAAGGCTGAGACACAGGATAAAATGTCTGTGTCCTGAGACATGCATGGGGAAGAAATGTACAACAGTACCTGTAGATTAAAAAAGCCCCAGACTCCACCCCAGGGTATAAGGGAGGTAAATCAGTACCTAAACATCTAAAGTTGCTGAACTTATACAACAAGGTGTTACAACTGAAGCAGCCCAGTGGCAGTGTAGATATCTAGCATAAACAGAACCACAAACACACCAGCTAAGGATTTGTCCTATAAATTGCAAGCTCTAGGATCTCAAATGTCAGGTTTCCTTAAGTAACTGTCAGATCAAGTTAATTGTGCTCCTTTGTATTACATTAATGTATAGCTAATGAAGAAGGAAAAAGAAAACCAAATCTTTTTTATCCTTAGGATTTACAATAAAGGCTTGGCAGTCTTTCTTACTGCAGGGATGACACACAAACCTAAACATCAGTCACATGAGGCTTTACTCACAGGAGCTTCAGCAAACATGTTTGCCAAGGGTGAGTGGTGAAGCAAGGTGGGGATCTGAATGTGCAGCATGGCTGCACAGTTCATGGCTGCCACTTCTGCTCCACAGAGAAGCCTTGAGACCACCTTCCTGGTTCAGCCTGAAGGTCAGTGGGACGCAGTCACTGGGAACAGAGGGAATTGTTGCTTGTTCTGGTGGACCCTTCAATCTCACTCCTTTCAAGTTCAACCACACAGAATTTGTTTAGAAAAACAATCCTTTACACCTGCAGAGAGCCTGGAAAAACAGAGCAGCTTTTTGCCTCCACTTCCAGCTTTTTGCTCAGTGGTATTTTAATTCCAGCTGGTGAAGACCCAGAGTTCCTCCCAGAACTTGTGTTAATTCACTGTTTTGTAGAGAATGATTATACATTAGGAAAGGGCAAACCAGAACCTTTGGGCTTATGCATATTACATGGTTTCTGAAGAATGTTCCTGTGAATTGCAAGTAGTTACAAATTACTTTAAAACATAAATATGATAATATGCTTTGCTGACCTGTCATTGTCTTGAAGTCTCTTGCCCATGGCCTAAGACTATTCTAAACAATTAGGAGATGTTAAATCAAGACAAGAAGCTGCAGCACTGAGTTTATGCCCACTGCATCCCTGCAGTTATCAGTTTTTAACTGCATTGATAAGAATTGTTTTTCCTATCAAGAGATGGTGAATGAACAAACACAAAACCATTTAAAAGTGCCAAGAGTCCTTTTGGAGAGGGCTACACAAAAAGCCTTAGGTAGACAATAATTCTTCACAGCAAACATACTGCCAGGTTTAATACCACAGCTATTAGAAGTTATTTACTGAATAGAAAAAGATGGTTTTTCATTCCCCAAATAGTACATGTATCCTTCCAACTGAGAGAAAAAGCCCAGGATAGCTGCAGTTCACTTCTTCTTGGTTCACAATTGTACATAATAAAAGTTCACAGCAAGAACTTCCTCTTTCAGAATAAAGTAGAAACATCCAGTTGCTAGAAGTACAAATCTTGTCTTCTGTCATGAATCTGAATACCTGAAAGACACAGCAGCATCAGGACAGTCAGACAGCACAGTCCATGCAACCTCCTAAGATGTTGTGCAAACAAAATTGCACCTCTGGGTCTTCTCTGATGCAAGAGAACCCTTACTAGAAAAACCAGAATGACCCATCCAAAGTATCCCCAAAACATTGCTCATCAAAGAACCAACATCAGTGTGGCACAGTCCCAATGGGAATAATTTCTTGGAACAGCTCTCCTAGCAGGTGGTGGGTTTGCTGGTGAACACTGCAGTAATGTTAGCACATAGGTCCAACAGGAACCTCAGCCTGAAGTTGGGTGCATGAGATACAACAGACGGGGTATCTTTCTGGGACCTGAAAATTGGACAGTCAGTGTAAAATAGGCATTGTGAAGTGGCAGGCTGATGGTAGAGCCACAGAAACTAAAGTAGGTGTTACTAGAAAAATAACATATCTCATTCAAATAGAACAGTTTCTCTCTGTTAAAGTAGTTACAGGAGGTGGTGTGTCTACCTAGGGGAAAAACAAGCTTTTGATATGTGGTCTGGAAGCAAGCAAGGAAACATCTTTAATTCTGCATGCTTAAGCAAGGCAGTTGTCCTCCATAGGTGAGCACTGGTTGTTTCCAGACCTGCTGGCTTCATTACTCACCTGCAGTGGCATGGCTTACACTGGGGTTTTCTGAGCCTTGGTAAGAGCTTGCTTTCCTCTCTTAAAAAAATAAAACAAAACACTGGAGATGAGCAGATTCAACACAGAGCTAAAAGCAGACAGAAGTTCCTAAAGAAACATTGTGCTTTTGCAGCCCAGCCTATAGCACAGGTGCTGGGGAGCTCTGTGCTGTCTGGCACAGCAATATATGCTGCCATAAATATAAATATCAGCTGTTCTTAAACATGACACAGCACAACACGAGTATATGTAACAGACAGAGCCAAGAAGCAGGAACTCCCACAGCCAGATTAAATGCACACATCTTAGGAACTTGTGGGCCAGCCATTTCTTATCTGTTCTTTTTGGGTTGCTTGATAAGCACATGTACAGCATTACACATGTGATGTTATGAAGTGAATATGATGCTAGGAGTATTCAGAGAGGCCCTGTAAACATCCTGAAAGGAAACTGGCAGTGGCTGGGGAACATCGAGCTGTTTAATTTCCTTCTCAATTTTTTCTCACTCATTTTCTTTCTGGATTTATGGGCAAAAAACAAAGTTCACTGTTGTTAGCACTGCTTCCCTTTTTTGATCCCAACACTAGTTTCATAAAACATCTTGGTTTTGGAGGATTAGGTCCCTTGGGTTCTCAAGCCTTGATAGGCTCACGTTGCCCCCTTGGGGGAAGAGGCCACCCAACTGAGTTCTTAAATTAAATCCTAGAAGTCTAGGCAGTGTTTTAATTAGACTATCATTTACTAGCTGCTGAAAGCCCAGGGTGCAGCTCTCTGCAGCTTCCACCAAATCTGAGTTTGTATTCCAGCTCAAGATGTCCACACTCCCATTTCCATTCCCCAAAGTCAGGCACTAGACACACTAGCAGGAACAAGTCAGCAAAACACCTGCAGTTGAGGTTCCTAACACAGCTTCAGAGTGGCCTTAGAAGAGGGACTGTGGATAAGGCTCCTGCAGACACAAGCAATAGGTTTGGCTTCTGTCCTGCCTAATTTCTGCTAATGCAGATTAGAAGCTGGGTAACCAGTAGGTATTTCACAGCTGCTTATTTTTCAAAGCCTAAGACTGAGGATCACTTCTTCACATGCCTGGTCCTTTTTATCTCGAAGCACCAGGCAGGATGTGCTGTATTTTTCCAGCAGACTCCCTCAACAATTTCACAACCCTTTTCCTTGGAGGTCAGTGCCAAGTTGACTCTTTGAGTACCGCCCAGGAACTGCAAACACAGGCAGACCCTAACAGGGCAGGAAGCTTGATCCCAGAGGGCTCCTCAAAGGCAGGAATTACTCTTAAGGGAGCAATTTTATCCAGCAGTCCTAGATGTCCTGGGGATGTAAGCTCCTGGGAAGTGGATTTCAGTCACCAGCCAGCTTTCTTTCTGTGTACATAGGACTGGAATTGCTACTACTAATAGATATACAACAACCTTCATTCCTGCAGGAATTGCCTTAGCTCTGGGAAACTCTTGCAGAGATAAAGTCCAGCCAGTGACACGCAGAGCAGCAGTGCCTCCTGGCAGGGGGCAGTCAGCTGGGAGCCAGGGCAAGGCCAGCAACCAGCTCCCTTATCTGAGTCCTTCCAGCTACAGACAGAGGCTTGAGGGAGACAAATCCCTGGCCACCACACCTGCCACCTATGAGGTAGAGATCCTGAGAGCACCATGAATAATGTTTCTATTTCCACAAATTATCTCCCTAATACAAGCCTGAAGGCAAAATATTGTGCAAGTGTGCAATGTTGGGAGTTTTTTTTGAGTAAGCCATACTATATAGCTGACCTGTCCCAAGTACCACAGTACACATCATGGCTTATCTAGTGAAAAAATTGTCCATTAACTGGGCTGAAGAATGCTCCAATTTGAGAACCTCAGGACAAGACTGTCTTATTTTGTCTCTACATAAGATGCCATCAAAGAATAAAGCAACAGCAAGTATTTCCTTACCTCCCCCAGGAGGTGAACTTTGACTTGTATTTTGTAACCTAACAGGTCCAGTCATACAAGCAGAACTGGAGTGTTGCTTCATGGTACATTCCTGCATGGATGTCAGGCACCTTTCCTGTTGCAGAAGATCAAGCAGGGAACCATATTTCCTGTCAGAGATGGGCTCATTGGCCACGTGCAGGTCAGGCAAGGCATGAGGATACACTGAACTCGTGAGACTGGGAGTCCCAATGGAAGGGAAGGGCCATGAATCTGGAGGTTGGGTTGGATGACTGCGCAGAGCTGATGGCTGGTACTGGCCTGCTACCCCAGCAGCAGAAAAATTCAGAGCAGAATGTGACATGCTTGCTGTAGAAGATGACGGATACAGTTTGGAGCAATGTGAAGAGAAATTCCACTGCTGGGGAGACATGCTGTCTACTTAAAAAGAGAAAGAAAGCATGTGAAGTCTCATCAGGCTTGTTTTTCCAAGGCAATTTCCAATGGACCTCTAAGGGAACACTATCAGATTGCATATTTATTTTTACAGAAATAGATATTCACTTTAGTGCTGCTTATCTTAAAAATCAATTACAAATTCATACTGAAAGCAGAATAAACCACCACCAAGACTTCAAATATTGAATGTATTTTCTTGCAGGCCACTAGCATAGGCAAGTTTTTAACAATTTAAAGCATAGACAAATAAACTTCTGCAAAGACAACACATTAAGTCATAATACACTTAATGCAGCTGACACTCTTGGCTGGCAAATGAAGACCCAGTCCCACTAAGAGGCCCACAGAGAGCTTGGGAAGCACCCAGCAGGTGCAGGAGCAGGGATTTACCTAGGAAGTCCCAGCTACATAATCCAAGGCTTTGCAAGCCTACTTTCTGTCTGTGCACAGTTCCAAATTTAAGCACAGGGCATCTTAAATTCCTTAGTGAAAGCCAGTCCCTCCCCCCGACACCAAGCTGACCCATGGGAAGCAGCTCACCGTTCTTAAGGACAACAGCCTCATCCTTGTGCTTTGTGCTCAGGTTCTGTGGGTTCTTGGCATTGCTCAGAGCTCTAGAAAAATGTTCATCTACCACGCTGTTAATATCCCCTTGGAAATAGGTAAATACAACACTCTGAGACCCCCATTCTGTTTTCACAGGTTCCTTGCTTTTACATGGCTTTGGAGTGAGCTTCCTTGTTTCTTCCATCTTCGTTACCCAATAGGCCCTGCCAAAAAAAGCCAGACCAGTCACAGAAACACTTAACTCAAAGTGCACAGTCAGGGGTGAGCCCATCTTCCCCCTGAAACTGGTGAGGCCAGAAGAAAATACTATATTCTTTGTGTTTCTTCCTCTTCCACACAACTTTACTGATTTCCTCATATACTTTTAATATGAAACACTTTAAGTATAAAAGAAAAGCAGAAACCTTTCAAGAAATCTGTACTACATGTTTCAGGATTGCATTTTTCCCACTCATTCAATTCAGTATCTTCTGCTGTTGAGCTAAGTTTGATAGAACTGTGCAATGTGCAGCCTTAGTAAGGGACAGGGCATCTTAAAAGCAGTGAAGGGCTTACCTCTGCCTATGGCCTGCTAGACACCAACCGTGTATGAGTTAGTTGTCAATGCCATAGCATGGGCTCTGCTGAAGAACAAAATGGGTACATCTATCCACCAGCTGCCATTTCTCATCCTGCCTTCATCCAGCTCTGTAACACTGGGCTTAGGACCTACTACTATGAAAATATGCCCCGAGGATGGAATTGTGCTGAAAGAACTGAAGCACCCAGACAAATAATTCAGGAGGTGGCATCAGTCCTGGATCAAGTTCAGGGTGGCTTGTCCAATTCTATTTTTTGCATTGTTCAAAAAAGCCATATTGACAGAGTGGAAAAAATAAATAAAGAAAAAAACCCCCACTAATTGGAGTAGTATTAACAACTTTAGATTAGGTGAAGTGTGAAGTACCTTAATCACTATGAGCACAGATCTCCACAAGGAAAAGTCTTCTGAGAGTAATTAGTTGCTTCACCTGTTAGAAAAAGACACTCAGACTAAATTATTGGAAATTGAAATTATGGCAAGTTCAATTTAAAAAACCAAACAAACAACAAAAAAAAGTTTTTTGTTTGAAACAACTTACCTAGCAAGCTGTTGGGTCTGCCAGTTGCTTATAACTTTGGTAGCCAGACTGTAAAGCACACTGTAGCTCAACCAGAAGTTATGGATTTAAGGCAGGAAACACTAAATAGTTTGCAGGAAGTCAACAGAAGAATGTAAGACTCATTTTTGTTCTTCTTAAAAAATCCAGCTGCCAGATATGATAAGAGTAGGACAAGGAATGTCACTGCTTGTCCTGGAAAAGCATGATTTTTATGTATCTGGGCAGTTTCTGGCCCTGGGGGGCTAGTTCTACAACCAGAGCTCCTCCATTCTGCTGTAATCAAAATCATATTTAGCAACACTTAGGCCATGGATGCAGAGAGAAGTGACTGCTGGTTCCACTCCATTTCTGAGTCTCAGTGCCAGCTCATCACACCACACAGCATCAATGTTTCACCTTGGTAGCAAAAAGAAGGCTGCTCTTTTTCAGAGACCAGGAAAATATTTGGCTGATAACCAGTTATTAAACACTAGATTTGTGTTTCCATCCAACTAACCCAGGAATACACAGTGTGGCTTAACCTATTCCAGCACATTTATCTGATTTATTTTCTAATCCTAAACCCCTCCTTCCTAAGAAACATTGCACTCATTTATGTCTCAATGAGTACTCTGAGGTATCTGCCTACAAATGGTCTCTCACTATTTCTTACATATTAAAAGACTGCTCAGGCTGCCAAGCCAGATATTCAGACATTAAGAGATATGAGAACTACAGTTCTCCAGCTGGAATCTATCCCCCTTTTTATGCCTAACCTTTCACCTAAAAACTTCTAGCCCACATTTATCATTTGCTTCTGTCTAGCTTTGCTTGCTGCCTCTACCTCCCCATGAGATCTGTTCAATTATTCCCCTTTTGTGGCTCCTTGCTCAGCCAGCCCTAATCCATCATCAACTTCTAATTTATGTCCAAACTCAAGATCTTCTCATTTCTAGGATTTCTGTTGCTTTCCCTTCTTGCATCCAGCCTCTTGTCCACCTAAACACAGTGGTGGGGATGTGACATGTGCAGGCTGGTCATCAGTTAGGACATGCAAGGGGATACTAAAAGCTGATTCAGAAAACAGTATTTCAGAACTTTAAAACTGACCCAACTTTCTCAAATATAGAAAGCTAAAACTGAAAAATCTTCCTCCTGGTTTACAGGCACCTTTCCAAGGCCCACAAGGGGAGCAGGAACGAGCACAACCCAACCAAACAGCTGGAAGAACTTCAAGCACAGGAAGAGACACTGTTTTCCCCCAGTCTTATTTTAGAAACAACCCACTGTTGAGGTTCAGAAACTTTCCGGTTGCTCAGCTGGAGGCAAACATTTACAATCATGGCAAATCCCAGCCCAAGTGGCAGAAGCTTGGCAAGGGCATCAACAACCCCACTGACTGAGAAAGGGCTAGATCAGGCCATCTTGACAGCAAGCAGGAAACCAGCTCTTCCTACACAGCTCCACCACCACACAGCAAGGTACAATTTACAAAGCATTAGCTCTGGCCCAGAGGTCTGTTTTTCCTCTCTCAGTGCAAGCCAGCCTTTGTGTCTTTGTACCACTTCATTAACATGCTTCACTTGCTCATTAACTGTCAGCTCTGTCGCACCGTTTATTGGTGTGCAGCACTGCTGGGCCTGTCTGCATTGTCACCACAGTAGTCACAATGCTACAAAAAGAAGAAGGAACAGACACTTAGCTATTTTTTCCCTCATTTCCCTTAAAAACCTCTTGTGCTTTCCAGCAAGCAGGCATAAGAAGACTGGATATAACCTGGGTTATCTCTCAGTGATCATGTGCACATGAGGAACCTCATGTCGCAAGAGTCAGGACTTAGGGTTGGAGCACTGTGGTCTTCATTACCTGAATTCCCATTCTTCCATCTTCCAGCAGGAAGTCTGCAAAAAAAGGCAGAAATCCTTCCGAGTTGTGTCTGCCAAGTGGAGCTCAGGAGGAAACAGACTCAGCTCAGCCCACATGACTCTGAGACTAGGTTAATTATGGCAAAATAGTGCACGTAATTGCCCGAGTTATTTATCCTTCTGGTGGACAAGGTGAATACAGGCTTGAGAGATATGGTTGCTGACTGGTCACCACAATGACAATTCTTGCAGTATTTTTCACATTCCCCACCGGTGCTATTAGCATTCATTTCCCATCACTGCAGCACCAGACAGGGAACTCTGATCTCTATTTCATGCAGCCCAAACCAGTTTAAAAAAAAATAAAAATCATTTCCACTTCCCAAGGATTAAGCAATAATTTGGCAAGCAGGCCTCCTCTTTCATCAAGTATCTTTCAAATAAGGTAACATTTTAAAAAGTCGTCCATCAGATGAATTTGCCTACCTTAACTCCCTGTCACACGCAGCGTCCCAGCAGTAAGGTTTCCAGACACAGGAGAGTCATGCTGTTCCCAGCAGGCTGGGATCCATCTCCCAGCTGGTTGGGATCCTTCCCTCAGCAGGTTCTGAGCAGTCTGCAGTGACTGCAGGAGACAAGCACCGTTCATGAACTCCCTACATGCTTTCTAGCCTCCAGCTGCCAGTGAACTAGGCGTTCCCTTCAGCCTATCTGCTAAGAATGCATGAAATGCACTCCAACAAGTCAACCAGGTTAGGAGGTTTCAGGAATGAGGAAAATAAGATTGTAAGTAGGTTTGGTTTATTGGGTTTTGTTTTTCTGAAAACGTGTACACAAGAAAGAAGACAGTGTCTGGACTTAGGAAGAGGATAAACAAGTTCTGGCAGAGAACCAAACTTGGCCAGGGTCAAACAGGACTTTCCTATGTCAGATTATAGCATATTCAGCACTAAGCATGTAACTAGGAACATCTGCAAGAAGGAAAAGATCACCTGCCTCCATCCCAGATAAGCTGCATATTTTTTTCCTCTCTCTTCTTTCCTGGATCTGTGTAAATTAATACAGAAAATAGAATTTTTGTTCTGCAAGGGCTTTAGCAAGAAACAAGGAGGATGGAGTTGTTGGTGTTTTTTTGTAGTAAGTTTACCAAAATTACTATATTGCAGCCATTCCAGAAATCCTGAATCAGGATCAAATTTGCCAGTCCAGCTAAAAAAATACACTGGGGAACTGGAGTCACCACACTGGTAGCATTATGTCTTCTATGCAGTAGCTTAAGAGCTTGTTTACTCACCCAGAATGTAGGAGAGCACAGTCCAATTCCTTCTGCATAAATAGGTATGAATCCACCCTCTGCCATCTCCCAGAACAATTTAACTGTCAGGCTGTGGGATTTCCTGGGACTGTGCTTAAGTCTTTTACTGACAAACTCTTTGCATAAACACATTTTCCTTGAGAGACAGACTGGATTCCAGTCCATCAGCGGGGCAAGTGTCCTCAACATCTCAACCCCTCTTTGCTCCCCTTTGCAAAACTGTTCCACAGAGCAGATTTCTTCTGCTAGAGCTTTTCAAGGCCCTTTCAAGCATTTCCCTAGGCAGGCAGATAAAGCACTTGTAAGGTTGTTGATGGCATCAGATCCAAGATCCTAGGTGAATACCCCAAAGAACTACTAGGATTATCAACCCTGTTTCTTTGTATTCTAGGAATTGAAACAACTGCTTCCCAGGGCTTTTTAAGCATTCAAAATGCTAAACTTTAGAGCAACCAAAAAACCCCACAACTTAAATATTCATTTCTGAGAATAAAAATTGAAATTCGGCTTGTCCTTAACAAGCAAAACCTCCCCCCAGCCTCAGTTACAACTCTGGGGTCTGCAGTCACTCCTCCTGCTCCTGTTACCATGCAAGGTCCAGTGACACACCAGACAGAATGGAGTCTGAGACAAAACCCAGAAGAGGGAACAACCACCATGTCCCACTGAAAAACTTCCAGTTCCAGTGACACCTCAACTAGACTCCAGTTGGAAAACTCTTGCATGTCAACACAAACACATTATGAACTGAAGTCACTGCACAGCAAATGCTACAAGAGAAAAGGCAAATACATTATCCCAAAACTAACCAGAAAAGACTTGGTTTGTTCATGAGTTTGTTTATTAAAAAGGTAGTATAAAACACAACCCCTTTAAGAAACAAAATTGAAGACAAATCAAGGGATTCTCAGATGCTGTCACAGGTCTAGATATTATCCAAATAAGTGCTGGCATTTTTTTAAATATCCATTTTCTAAAGGATAAATAAAAATGATCCATTGAACTTATCAAAAGAAAATAACCTGCCAGAAAAATTCCAAGTCGACTTACTGAAAAGTTTAATCTAACAATATATTTTTGTTACAGAATGAGCAAAGACCAATTTGCTGCAAAAGATTTCATAATTCTATAAATATTTTACAGGACTTTCAGAGTATCCTGACAGTAAGACTTAAAAGCCTTGTATAATGAGCACTAAAATACACACAAGTCAAATCAACACAAGTGCACAACTTCCATCATTTCATTTCTCATACTGCAGTACATTTCCTCAAATTCAAAATTAAAAAGAATTAAAAATCCAATTAGAATCCATAAGTATGGGTGGGTTTTTTCAGTTTTGTTTAGTTTGGTTTTTAAGATTGGGCTAGGTTATACAGTTAAAGAATTTAGGGTTATAATATAAATGTTACTGGAAAATGTAAAGGCAAGTTTGGGTTTCTATGAAGCATCCAATACCTTTAAGTTTCTGTAAGTGAATTAAGCCAAGTATCTGTAACTGTAAACAGACTCACCCTAACTGAATAATGTCTAGGTCATGTTTTAGCTAAAAATGCACTGCATTTAACATACTAATGATTTTAAGTGAATTGCAATCCGTATACAAAAGGTAAGTTGTATGAGGGACTGAAATTCAATTAAAATTTTTTAAAGAGTCAGCAGGAGAAACAGATAAACATTTTGATGCAAAATGAAACTCATTCTCTCTTTACAGCTGCATATGAACATCCAAGAACTGCTTCAACTCCCATGCTTCTCTTTGGGGCTGTTTGTTTCTAGATGTCTACCTTGGCTATGCTCCTCAAAACTCATCTCATTTCTGATGGATCCTCCTAACTCCACTCAATTACCCTGCCAGCAAACCATCAGACAGCATTTGATTGCAAAGCAGACTGCCAGTATGTCTTGAAGGTAAGCAACTGATTTTGTACTGCATGGTTAAGAAAGTGATTATCTGTGGCAAATTATGCTGAAGTAGCAGTTAGTTAATGATCTTATTTAAGTGGCTTCACTCCCATTTTGCCACACTGTGCAAGCTGGTAAAAACAGCTCCTCCTCTAGTACAAAACTGAGCAACAATGACCATCCACAAATTTTATCAACCTGCTGCTGGTTGGTTTCCATAAGATACTGAGGGAAGGAGACAGTTTGTTTTAAAATTAACCTCACCAGAAGGCCAGGGAGGAAGGAACATGCAGGATACTGGAACAACTGAAAGGAACCAATTAGCAATTGAGCAAAAAGTTTGGTTCTGTCTTTCCTAATGAGCAAGACAAGTCATTAGAACGCACTTTTAATTAAAGAACTATAGTGAAAATTGCATTGGGGTTTTAACTTCTTACCTATTTATGATGCTGCTCTTTCAGAAAAAAAAAGTAATTTTGTAAAGCAACTCAGCTTGTTCAGCTTCAGATTTGTTAAAATTTGGTATTAAGCATCACTGCTCTATCCTACAAGATTTTCATAATCGTATCTCTAAATAGCAGTTTTAGCTTTTTTGAAAAGTTTTAATTTCTGTTCAGATTAATTTATAAAAATTTGCATCGTTTACAAAAGGAAAACATCAAAAGAACTTGGTCTCAATGAAAATCTGCTGAAAAGAAAGTCATAGCTGCATTAACCTCTCCAAAGACGATTAAACGCCTCAATAAATCAATGAACAGTTTATAAAAATATAATTTTACAATTTACTGGGGAATAACAGAGGTAGACAAAAGGAAAACAGCAGTTTGAGTGTCATGCCAAACTTCAGAACAACATATTTCCATGGAAAAACAGCTTTTATTTTCTTAAGAATCCTAGTTAATAAGAAAGCCAGTGAAGCACTTGGTCTCAGTCCTTGTCGGTGCTCTCCTTCAGGGTGAGGTCTGGAGGAGAAGGTAAGAACTCTAACACCATGTTTGACTTTTGAAGCAAGCTAATAAAATCTGTGTATCAGTTAGAGGAAGGTTACTGCACACATAATGATTCTTTCTTTTTCAAAGTCTTTTTTCAAACACTAACCTTGCTTCTTGTATCTGATACAATGATAAGGCTTCATAGAACTGTACAACATTTATACATTTGTCAATAGTTTCCTTGTGTCAGCTGCAATTCCACTGTACAAAGGTGATTTAGCTGTGTAGAGTGTTAAATAAGTAGGCTCTCTGAAAAAAAACAACAAACCCTAATAAACACAATCATCTGTCAAATGTAAAGCCTGAAGTCTAGAAGCTGGAAGGAAAAAGGAACACTGAAAGCGATACCCACCACACTAAATCCCACTCTTCGTATGCCAAAACTTTCAGCCCTCAAAGGTCTGTGGTGCTTATTACCAACAAAAATAACTAAGGCAGAACCAATGGCACCCAGAGATGTCATCTGAACATGCAGATACATGCAGCTCCAAACCAGGCAGTATTTTGGACTTCCTCAACTGTTCAAACACTTGTTTTGCTGAAATGTACAATGTGCACACTCACCAGGTTGAGAAAACAGTCTTTCTTAGCTGGCAACAGTTACAGCTCTTCCTTATGATACAATTCAAATCCAGAAATTTGCATGCCAGCTTATAAGCCCCCAGACTTTTAAAGACTGAATTCAAATACCTGTTGTCAGACCAGATATGTTGTCACAAAAAGGTCTCATTTATAACCAAAACGGCCGGTGTTACCTTAGATGTCCTGGCTGGCACAGCTATGCATGTATATTGATTGCAACCAAAACAAATTCTCAGTACCACAGACTTCTAGGACAAATATAGATGGCAATCACAGAGCACAAAGTTTGAAAAGACTCATTTCTCAGAGTACTCCAAATACTTCAGGATGGAAAAATAAGAATTTGCACCTGTGGTTTCTTGCAATCTAAAGATCCAATGTGCACTAGTAACCATCCCCACTAACAGCTGCTATGAACTTAGCTCCAAGATTCTAACTGTTTAGTGTCTAAATCCACATTCTTCTATCCTCAGGAACCAAAATAATGGTAGTCTAAATTAAGAATGCCTATGCCCAAAATGGCTCCCCCAAAGTTATTTTTGAAAGCTTGCCACTTACTAAGAGATCTAGTGTTAGAATGTCTTCTAAATCCTTACTTTTGCAAATATTTCTAAGAGAGCTAAACATTTGCTTTTTCCAGATAAAGCATGTCACTTGAAAGTAGATTTTCCATTATTCTAACTTTTGCACAACAAACTCTAGTTCAAGTTGCCAAAAGCCTTTAAATTTCATGAAAGATGGGAGATCCTCCCCACTTTGTGTAGCACGTGAGGCTAAACTAAAACACTGAAGAGAATTCACTCTCACCATTCTAACAAAGTTAAATGAAAACCTTGAATATTAAAGCAAAACCTAAATAAAGCCACCCCATCAACCAAAAGCCTATTTTCCACACAGACCATCAGAGCTTAAGATCAGCCTATTTCATTATGGCCTAGAGTGTGTGTGCTCCTGCTTTTCTAGTGTCCCTGGCATAATTCCAGCCTAAACAGAAGACCTACGCATCCAGAGATTTTAATGGAGGGCACTTCCTCCGGTGGAGCAGTTGGTGTTAAAGGAGGATTAGTGGGAGGAGTTGCTAGCCTGAGGGCAGGAGATCTGTTTCTGTTTTTTAAATTTGCCCTTTGTGGTGGCATTGCAGGCTTTTTTGAGCAAAATACCAGTTCTTCCTCCTCCGTTGTACACCAGCCTTCAAAGTCAGACTCACTAGAGTCCGAGTCTTCAGAATCATCAGATTCGGCCGAATTATTAGATTTTAGAGTGGCCAATTCATTGCAAAGTTACATATAGTTACATAAACTTACAGGTTGGAACATACTTCACACTTACATAATGAAACACTGACAAGCATAGTTAGAACAAAAGAAGCCTGATGAGTTTTACTGCATTCTTGGCAAATTGAGTAACTTTACCTGAACAGCCAATTAATACAAACTTTTAGAACATCATTAAGTACTGCTTTTAATGAAAACTTCAAAGCACACAGTTGATGACATTCTAATATGCATATATTCCTATGAACACTGTCTGCAGTCACCCAGAAGGAAGGGATCAACTCAAACATCACCCTAAACCCCATGCTTTCCTACAGCATGAATGACGTTATGTGTCAGCTTCACCATCACTGCCTGCAAGGCTGCTGTCTGTGGATGGAGCACCATCTTCATTAATGCCCTCACCATTATTCTCCCTCTCATGGGCCTCATTTCCATCCTTCTTAGATGTGTCATTAACCTGTGAGGGTTTCCTGCCTTCAGGCAGTTTGACACTATTTGCTGCTGAATCTGAATCAGATGCAGGTTGCTGCTCCTTTCCATCAGGATCCTCTAGAAACGATCCCCACACCTTCAGCCTTTCTTCCCTTTCTCTTGCAGTCTCCTCCACCTATAAAGACACATTTATACACACAATTTCAACATTGTCTTTGTAAAAATGAGTATTTACACAGATAAAATTATATGAATGTTTGCATGGCAGTAACACCTCAGGGCTTCAATGGACTATTGGCTGTCAACAAGCTGTGCATCCACTGCCTAATCCTGAAAGTTTACATCTCCAACACACAATTTTGAAAATCAAACTGGTCCTTTACATTTTCATTAAATTCAGTAATTAAGGATTATTTTTTTAAGACATCCTAGCAGCTTCTGAGGAGAAGCAAAACGGGGCAGGGGTGGGCACGGGAAGGCGACGGGAAAACCAAGCACTTCTCAAATTCCAGCAGATTTACAGTTTGGAAGAAATATTCCATGAAAAAGGACCACAAAAGGCTACCTGATAATCCGTTACACCATCCCAGGTTTCAGCACTGAGCTGACGTCCACCAAACCACCTTCCATTCAGAGTCAGCTTGCACACATCAGCCTCTGTTGCTTCTTTAAATGACACAGAAGCCACGCCATCAGGGTGTCGCTGTAAGCAGAGACAACTGTCATGGAACATTTTTCTGAAGTCTACTTATTCCAACAGATTTTGAATTGTCTTACAAAATCAATCAGGATATAAGCAGTATCTTGAGCATCCAGCATGTTTGAAAAACTCAATGTGCAAGTTTACACATGTTGTTCTACTGGTACACAGCAGACACAAGAGTTTCAGCTACTTTAGCTACAAATAAGTGTACTTATAAACTTTCCACGTTGTGACATGCATCCAGGTTATTAGGAAGTTAAGAGTTTGCCTTCACAGGTTTGAACAGGTTGCCCAGGGAAGTTGTGGAAGCCCCATCTCTGGAAGTACCCAAGGCCAAGTTGGATGGGGCTCTGAGCAACCTGGTCTGGTGGGAGGTGTCCCTGCCCATACAGGGGGTTGTATCTAGATGATCTTTAAGATCCTTTCCAACACAAAACCACAAACCATTTTGTCAATCTCTGATGCACACAGGCTGAAGTACACAGGTGCTTACAAATTAATTTCCAAACCAGCTAATTTTAAACTAGTGGAAGATTTTAAACTAGTGGTTTCCATGAAACAAACACTCAAAAGTAAATACTCATTAAGAATCCTAAATGTTTTGCACATTTACATATTACATCAATTCAGGCAACAAAACTTGTAAAAATACCTACATCAAATATAAGAACCTTCTTCACTTGACCAAACTTCTCACATTCTGTCCGCAGATCTTCTCTGATCTCATTGAGCACTAAGGGATCCTCCTGCAAGGCAGTCACACAGGTTACACTACAGAGAAGCACTTTCTTCTCTCAGCTTTATTTTAACTCAATGACCAAGGGAACAGATCTCTCAGTCTATTAAAAGTTCATAAATTAAGTGTTGTTACATATCCAAAGTCACTTGGGAGCTGGCAGACAGTCCTTATTTGAATTTAATAAATGCTGTTTATTAATAAGGCTTCTCCAGTTCAGTATAATTGCTGTTTACTCCTCTTTCCATCCCAAAAAAGGAATATTGTCAAGATACACAGAGCAAAAAAGGCTTTTCAGTATAACTACTGTTTACTCCTCTTTCCATATTGTCAAGATACACAGAGCAAAAAAGGCTGATTTGAAAAATATATACTAACAACTTTGTCTTTCCTTTTGGAAATAGATGAATGAATTTTAAGCAGATGTTCGGCACAGGAAAACACCCTGCCCGAACTCTAATTTTGTTCTTATCTGCTTAGAATTTTGCTCAAATTCTGATGGGCAGAAACTTCAGCCTCTTAATTATCACAACCCTTTTCAGAGCAGCAAACTGCATCTTCCTACCTCAAAGTCCTTTGGATGAAACATATTCCTGATAATAATGATGCGTTCGTGTCGCATTCGAGTTTCCCCATCTTTCTTCTCAGGCCTCCAATCCAGCTGTCTAATGAAATGAAGCAACAGTAAGAAGATATTGTTGCGCCTCTCCTTCAGTTTCTACAAGTATTTGTTGAAAAAAAATCATTAATTTGGCATTTCTTGCAAGACATCAACCAAAATATGTATTTTGACACAAAGAGTTAAGTTAGTCCTCTACAAAATGCAAAGATCATCCAGTTTTAACACTTCTCCCCCAAAACTGCTGAGGTTTTAAGGTACTTAAATGCTCATACAGGGAATATAAACTATCTTAAAAATAGAAGCATTTTCTTAAGCACTGAAAAAAATATACTTCAAGTTTTAAGTCCTTCCTAATATCAGCTCAGATATGAGAATCAGTTGCCAAGTATACTAAAACATCAGTATTTGGCCATTTTTTCCTTACTTATTTTGTAAAATAGGAGATTTACTATTCCCTTTGGTAAAACTTAACTGCTTTTATTTAAGCAAACATGCAAGAACACCTTGAGTCTCACACAGGCATTGCTCCAAGATGTATTTTGTTCCAAGGTGTCCAGAGCCACTGACACAAACTAGCCATGTAGCTCAGGGCATCTGTTCCAAGACTTTGTCTCCTCATTAAAAATTGCACTGCTCCCAGAAATGCCCACTGTGTATCCTATTACAAAAAAAGGGACACATTCACTTCCACTTCTAAATCACAAAATGTTTTATCTGGGGCAGGGGGGAAATCTTAAGTTCCTTCTTGTATCTGCTACTTCAGCTGAAGGGAACTTGAATTTCCAATGAAGATGCAAGTAAATTATGCTCTGCAACTCAAAAGGAAGACCAACTGACACCAGTTTATCCACACAAATTGCTGTCAGATGCAAGTTCATTACTTTCATACTTCTCTCAGCATACTAGAGACTTCTCACAGTAAGACCTGGAAATGCATCTCTGAGGCACACACTTCGATCTACTTTCATTTGTAGACGCAAAGTAGCATAGAATCATAAAGTTTTGGGTTGGGAGGGACCTTAAAGATCATCTAGTCCCAAGCCCCCTGCATGGACAGGGACACCTCCCTTTGTTCCCTTTATCTATAACAAAATACTTCTGCATCACTATTTAAAATTAGTGAAATGCTGCTTTCATGAAAATATCAAGAGTTCTATCTACTCAAACTTCTTTAATATGCATGTTATTCATTCCAAATGGTAAAAAAACAATTTTTAAGGGACAAAAGCAATGAATGTAGGTACAAGTAAAGTTTTTTTTTATACCTGAGAGACATGCCTGTGGGAATCTGCAGATATATTTTAGCATTTGCTCCTATGGAAGGAAGGCAGCATCACCTTCTGCCCTTTGCAGCCAGTAAATCGTGGCACAAGCACTATGTGGACAGCCAGAACATGATCACCTTAGAAAAATAAACTTAGATGTGGTGACAGGACTTGCACACTCTCACACACTGAGAAGTCTTATCTCCACAGAGTTGTCATATTTGCTTCTATAGTTCAAAGGGCCTTGGTCCCCTCTTTTTTATTTTATGTGTCAGTCACCAAGTAGTTCATTATGTCAATGTTTAATTGAGGAGTTCTTCTCCTCCACAAGGGGATAATTTAAGCTATTTTGCTGTCAGGCAGGACTTAAGTTTTTGCATAACTCTCAGCATGGCACCTGAAAGAAAGCAGTGCTTCACTAAAGGCACCTAGAACTCAAACTATGTGTTACTGAAATAAGAAATACAAACTTCTGCTGCTGAGACAACTTCTTCTTGTAGTCTTTACATTTCTTCTTTTTCTTGCTGGCATCATACTCCCCCTTCAGTTGAAACTTTGCAACTTCAACATGCAGTTTATAGCCTCGAATTTCTGCCTCATCCAGAAGCCTCAAAGCAAGTTGAACCGATTCTCTCTGTTTGAAGATAGAAAACAAGCTTTAAGGCACATGCCACAGTTGAACTGTCCCAGTAACACTTGAATTAAGAGAATCAATTCCCTGTCCCTGAAAACCATAACACATCCCTTCCAAGTCTCTTGTCACACAGCTGGGAATGCCTTCTGGATCAAAACCCAGCATTTCTTCACTGATATTACAGCAGATTAATACTCCCAACTACATACATTTCATTCAAATATGTCACAGAAACTAATCTTCAATGGTCAAGCAAGCTGATGAACTTAAAATCAACAGTAAGAAAAAATCAGGGGGCTGATTTCCTATAAAGCTTGTGTCACTGTTCCCAGAACAGCAGATGTTGAGGCTCTTAAGTTTTCACATTTTCCTGAAAGTCCTTTAGAGGGGAGCCTGTGCACTAATAACAAACTAGCACAGACTTACATGGCAGTTGAGTGAGCACAGCCTGGTGCTTCTTGCAGAATTAAAACAGACTGCACTTGTGGGCACCACCTTTCCAAATGATTGACAAGTGAAACACAAAGGAAATTGTACTGCAGTTTATAAGCCAATACTGAATGCAAGAGCAGTTCTGAACCTCACCAGTTCTCAACTAAAAGCTGTAAATACAGGAGTACACTATGTTTCTTCCTGTCTCATTTTTGTATTCTTGGCTACACAGGGCTACACATTTTTGAAGTAAAAGGTGAAGAGTTAAAGGTCCCCTGTTTCACCACATCACCACTGGCACCCAAGACAGGACATGTAGAGGGATATTCAAAAAGTATTATGGGCATTTTCTGGGATAGGCTGAGTGGATAAGAGGAAATAAATCAGGTGTACAAGCAGATAAGTGGGCACTTCTGGAAAAAAAAGAATATCTTTAAAACAGACACCTAAATTCTAAGTTACACTTTAGATATTTCCAAGAATCTTCTGAATATGATTCTGAGACAGTGGCCACAAGTATCGTTGACAGGAAAGAAGACTGCATCTTAGGGCACCACTGACCTTTAGATAGCAACAGAGTCCATCTCCTTTCAGATTTCCTTCCTTATCTTTGTACAGTTTGATTTTGTGTTCTTCTGTCTGCGGATCTCGCATAATGATACCACACTTTGACATGACTTGGACAAATTCATCTTTCGTAATGTCTGGAGGCAAACCTGCCAAATACATTCAATCAGAAGGCTCGAGTATGTTCAATTATTTAAAAACCTCATGAGAACAAAAACCCCACAGTGTTCCTTTAAATGAAAGATAGCCAACTTCAAGACAAAGTTCTACACCCACCGTAAGAAACCACTGCCCCTGGAACCAATAGTTTTTATACTGCCTTTTAAATGTTACTTCATACCAAAATTTTTTAAATCCTTTCACTTTTTCACAGGCCTAACAGCAACATTGTTGTGCTCCCCAATATGCAGAGCCAGAGCTTTATTGCTATAGAGGGTACAGACACTACAGGGGACAGAATGGGTTTTGCAAAACTATCCTGCCCAAGTTTTAATTTCCATTGCATCTCCAGGGATCAGAGGCAAAGCAAGGATCATCTAGAGATGACTGTTTTCTCCACTCACAAATTTGACACAAAAAAAGCAACTAATGATGTGAAGTCTGAGGTTTTAATTAAGGACAAGAAAAAAACAAACCAAAACCACAACGAAATGGAGGAGAAAATGATGTGAATGTTCTGTGCTAGTTGAGCATGGAGAAAGGTCTTTGAGAACTGAAATGTGGGCATTTCTGTTCCTACTCAGAGCCACCAAATGTACCTTTGTGTCTGCATCTAAAGACAGTACCCCAGCATCCATGTCAGGCAGAAACACCACAATAAATGCACAGGTAGCTTCATCTGAGCTTCCTCATTACTTGTTCATTTTATTCCCAGCAGATCTTTTTGTACTTACTGTTTCCTCCTTCTTATCTAATAATTTATGTATTTGTAATATAAATATTAAATATTAAAATATTATGTATATAGTCCATGCACTATCTTATTATAAACTTGTTCTCATTATCCTAATCCTTAAGAGCTTAAATATAATTAGTGATTTGGTTGACATGGCTCACAGAATATCCCACTGAGAAGATAAAAGGATGGGATGTGTCCCTTCTATCACCTTCCCACATCTGCAGGTGAAAGGTCACAAAGGCATTCTGCAGCTAGGAACATAATGTTCAGTAGACTGCAAACAGCAGACTGAGCAGATAATGTCAGTGAAACAAATACAAGTCTCTTTACCATCTCTAAGTCGGAATTACTACCCACTAGCTATTACTTACCAGTCACATAAACATTTGTGTTTCTGTCGTCTTCAACATGAAACCAACCTGCAAAAAAGAGTTTTAATTCCATTAGGTCAAGACATCAAGCATGGGATCACACACAAATGGTCACATCCCATCAGATTTCTAAGAATTTCTACCTGCTGACAGAAAAGCTCCAAACATGCCTTAAATTTGCCTTTTCCCACCTGTGTGTGGACTATAGGAGGGTAACTAGGGATGACCATACCATTATAAAAGTGTTCAGCACAACCCCTACCTTTGCTGCACATGCCAACACTGAACAGTTTCCAGTCAGAACTACACGGGTTGCAGTCTGCACAGAGGGGAAGAACCCTTTGGCACTTACCTGGCTCAATCTTCCGTTTTTCTGCTTTTTGTTTGGGATCTGGTTTTTGTGGTCCTTTCTCTTCTGCTGCTGGGTGTGCTCCTGCTGCCTTGGAACTCACAGGCTGCTTACTTTCAGTTGCTGTGCCTGCAGCAGAGGAACTGTCTGTATCATCTGTGTGGAAGCCGTAGTTGGCATGGTATGTTGCCAGGAAATCCTCTGTTATCTGCAAATAAATTAGGATAATTAATCCCACATTTTGAAGAACTACAAACTCAGGTTTGCAAGTGTTTTAATCTTAGTTAAATATCATTTTCTAATTTAGCAACATAAAAAATAACTAGTTTAAAGCTTTTCAATCGTGCTTGTGAAGCCATTCACACAACAGCAGTCAGTTCAGGCACTACCTGCACTAGACTAACACTTAATTCCTCACAGCACATGAAGTTTTTAAAGAAATATTTCACAGTTCTGCCTTTTTTTCCAGCAAAGCTTTTTGCTTTCCACATTCATGGGACTTTCCTGCAGGAGAGAAACCAAGCACTGCCTGTGCTGGGGAGACCAAGTGACACTGAAGACAAGCCAACAACTGATCCCCAGATGATGAACGACTGACAAGTGCAGTGTCAAGTCTTCTTTTCACCAAAACATTTTCAGAGATGACATATATTTGTGTTGATGGACAATAAATATTGCACTTAAACAAGTATCTTAACACACTGCTTAGAAGGCTACACGCTCTACTTCAAATTCTACTTAAGGATACATAATTAGCTTCCTCTTTTCTAGCAAGACGCTGTATTTGGATAAAACATAAGACTGGCTAATGTCTATCTTTTAGAGACCAAAACAAAAAACCCTACAAATTACAGCCAGTATTTCCAGCCAGGTAAATTTTAACACTAGCAACAACATGTGAAGAGGTAACAGATCATGGCTGGGTTTGCCAGCATCACTGCACTGTGCAGTACTCCCTGAAGGAGCACACACTGAAATTATTTACTCCCAAAGCTGAGTCTCAGCCTTTGAAAACTTTATCTGACTTGTGCTGCACCTGCTGCTTCTGCCTTCCAAAGGGAACAAAACTCAGTGTGACTGCAAGAGACTGGCACAATGGCCAGCAGTAAGTGTCACTGATGATAATGCAACCTTAGATTCCACAGTGATCTGAAGGTTGATGTTTCAACTCTAAGCTTTTATTCTGACAAACCAAAAATGCAGAACTGACACCAAGAGGCTTGTCAGACATATAACACAAGATGCTGTGGAGCCCCACAGAATGTAAAAGTTTGGCATGAAACAGCTCCTACACTCAGCAAGATTTGCAACACGCCTCCACCAGGACTGCAAGTGGCTGCTCTTCCCGACAGGACTTGACATGGTGTCAAGACGAAGGAGGAGTAAAACCACCTGGAGAAAGGAAGACTCTAATGTTCTAGTCAGGTTCATGATATTTGACACTATCAACCTCAGCAAATCCTTAAGTTTCACAGTCAGTGAAATCTAGAGAATTAAAACTCTTTTGAACTTTCTGGTAAACAATAGAACTCATTTTTATCATTAATTTAGCAGTAGGTTCTCTGATGAAACCTCCAACAACTAGCCCCCTTCCTGCAGCATTGTTATTTCTCAGCCTCAGGAGGAACTGCATTCCCATGTAAAACTAAACTTATTCTCAGCAAATTCCTTACCACAGACTGTCAAATTTTGCCAGTCATTAATAAAGACCCTTTTCCCATCACAAACCATGATCTAACCATTTACACCATTACTTCAATTTAAAATGTGTTTTTTCAAGCATAAAGGAAATTATGCAAGTATAAAGGCTTTTACTGGAACTTAGGTCATGCAATGCCTGCTTAGCACTCACAGAATTTACTTGGGGTTTCAATCCAGTTCTGGTGGGGGACATCAGGGAAAGA